CATGATCGTCGTTATGACTCGGCGGTCACGGTGCGATCGTCGGAATGACTTCGCCTCCTGCGTTCGCAGAACTATCGTGAACATCTCTCGCGATAGCGACATAATCCTCACTCGCGATGCGGCAAAATCGTGGTTGTTCGGATCAAATCCCGTCCCAAAAAATTCCCTAATCAAATGTAATACTGTACAAAAAATCGTGAATATTTATTTCCCGAAAATTTCCCAAAATTTCGAGACCTGTCCATCCCTATACTTTTATGATAATTTTATGAGGGTTGTTTTTTTTCTGACTCATGTTAACATTCTATTCACCACTGCCTACAATTGCTGTATAACTGTTTATGGTTTTATATTCAACTTGTAACTAATCTGTAGTCATAACTATATTATGATTTTGTTGATTTTTATTCTTCAATTGACACAACCACAAGCATTGTTGTTAGCTAATAATTCAAGTGTGTTCTTTGCTGTTCTTTATCGTACTCATTGTCAAATCATCTCATTGCATTCGGTACCCTGTCTGTTTTGTTGGTTTTTTGAATATTTAGATTTAATTATTAAATTTAGACCTTAATGTTTTTTTTTTAGTTTAAGAGTAAAATCTATAGACCATTCCTAGTGTTTATGGTTTTTTTTTAAACCATTCTTACCAATGTTACTGGTTTTAATTCAAACAGTTTTAAATTTGAACAGATTAGTATACATACATCTATATATCTAATTCTGCAAGCCCAAAATTTTACAATGAAATTGTGAGCGAACGGGAGGCTGTAGAAAGCTGGGAGAGGTCTCATTTTAAAGGTCTGGGCATGAAATTTTCGGGAAAATTATTCATTTTTCTTAATTATGCACCAAAAGATTGTTACGGAATAAAATAATTCACATTTAAATAGCATGAGAATCTAATTTTATGTCGTTTTATTTAGTGTAAACACAGCTGTGATTATATAAATTGAATAAATTATAACCACACCTGAATGTGCATTATTTTGTTATTTGTAAAATTGTTAGTTAGTGAAGTAGTTAACAACACAAAGTGAAAATTAGATAAAATCTTTAGAAAAAACAATTTGATACTTTTAAACTTAATACTTTACAATGGATTGTTCTTTTGCACAGTAATAATGTATAATGTCGGAAGACCACCACGCAGAGGTATTGTTCCTCGATGTGAGAACAACAGGCGCCAGATTTGGCACAATATTTATATAGATTTAATTAATAGTCATGAAGATTGTTATTGGAAAATGTTCCTTAGTTGTATTATGATTAGAATGTTTATTTTATAAACACACCGCATATCCTTTGGAATTTTTATTTTAAACAGAGCGGACATCAAAATGCATTATGCAGGTATGTAATAACTATTACATATCATTAGGGGTCTGCGGTGCACCGAAAAAGTCGGTATGGTACGGTACAAGACTAATTACAGTCATCGGTTTGGTACAGCATTTTACTACAAATTCAGTTCGGTACAGCCTAACGACAGAACCCTGAGCACATTAAAGTCTTATCAGATGTTTGTTTACGATCTTCATAATTTATTACTAGGGTGATGATGCAATAAAAACCTCATTAGCAGTCCCAAATCCATTAACATTTTATCACGACAATAATAATTGTTGTATTCAAGTACTTCCAAGAACTGTTGAGTTTTATCACTTTTATTACTTTACAACTTTCTCCAATTCTATTTTATCATAAAAATAATAATTTTATGATGACTGTTAAATGTTATCTCTAACTCAGTCAGTATTTTCGTAGATATTCAATTTGCCGCTGGCCATTGCCTACTGCCATAAAACTGTTTACTACATATTAAACTTGTAACTAATCTACAATCTTATATTTTATCTTTCTATTGACAACCACAAGCATAGTTGTTGTTGTTTGCATAATTTTTGTTTTCGTTATTCAAGCCTACTCGGTCTCAAATTATGTCATTACATGTTCTGTATCTTGTCTTATATTGTTAGATGTGGCTGTTTAAGGCTTAAAATATTTTTTAGTTTCCCGTATTTTTGTGTTGTGTTTAAGGTACTTTATGCAATCTAAATCTTATGAACTAGATAGTGATTTTGCTACCCTCATTGTAACCTAATCAATTTATATATAGGCCCTCCTAAATAATTAGGTCTGGGCCTGGGTCTTTTGATTCTTTGGAAGAGCTTTAAAATATACTAAGAAAATTGGATTGAGCCTAATATAAACTAATGATTGATATTGTGGATGTTAACTTTGTAAATGAAAAGACAATAATCTTACTCTGTGATAATCCAAATTTTAGTTTCAGAAAAAAACTTTTCAAGGGTTGTATCCATCTTATAACTAGTTTTGAAGCTGATACAAAAATATGCTCTTTGCCATTACTTCATCATAACCTCTAGTGAACAGCTGGCAACTACACTGTCATCGTACTGAATGCTTTTAAGCCTATATGTTTTTAAAAATTTTTAAAACAACTAGACATTGTGTTGGTTGGAAATAATTTACCAGCTGTGTGAAATTATCTTGTCAATAAATGTTTCAAACATGTTTGTTCCTAAAAACTCTTATCCTATTTTTAAAACCACTTTTATCGTGGCTATTCAAAGTATCTCAGAGTAAAATAGGTAAAGCCTTTATCTTAACAGTGATTTTTCTTGATACAATCCTCGTAGTAGTAAAAGGTTTTGTTTTAATAATGTGTGGTACAGTAATAAATGTTGTTAGAGAACCATGAATGTAGGATACTATCTATTTTCATAGTTATGTCAATGTATTAAAGTTAAAAATAATGGTTTAAATACAGTTCTGAGCAGAAAACCGCAAAAATACGGGTAGCCGCGTACCGTACCGATAACCGAGGTACAAAATATTGTACCGTACCGACCTTAAATTTTTTGTACCGCAGACCCCTACATATATATACAAAAATGTTAAATGATAATTCAAGGTAGTGTAACCCATGAGACTAATAATTTATTTGTACAAAATAATGACTAGAATATAGGGGCTATTGCTCCTACAAGCCACTAGTTAAATTAATTACTGTACAACTATATCCATTTTTGTATCATAAATGTATCTACATTTTCAATTATTGTTTATTTTGACTTATTTTTGATGGATTTCTGTAAAAATAATTGTTTATTTTTTTCCAAAAAATACAAATTTAGAAAACTCATAAATTAAGCTACAAAAACCATCAATGGCCTGCAGCAATTATTATAGTTTTTGTTATTTAATGACGCTTTTTAGCGAATTTCCCTATAGGGAAGTAGCTATTACCGTAGGTGGCACGGTAAGACCTAGGCCCGGGACTGATTTACTTTTTTATCTTGATCTCCCCAGAGGCCAAAAACACCATTCGTTTCAAATTTATATATAGATTTTGTGTATTTTCAATTGTTCATATATAGATTTATTTATACGTCCGTGAACGCGGCGATACCTTGAGTAATTTTCGTCTGATTTTGATGAAATTTGGTTTAAAAGTGTTAGGCGGGATAAACTTGAATGAGTTCGCGAACCAGCATGATCGGACCATGGGAACGGGGTTTTATGGGGTAAAAAATGGTTTTTCTCAGTTTTGACCCTCAAAACACAAAATTTCCAAATTTCTCTCTAGACCTTTAAAAGAGCGAAAAGACAAATTATTTAGTATATCAAAGTGTTTTTGTAAAGTTATTGGTAACGGAGAAAATTCAAAAAATTGTAAATTCAAAATCCCCATGCTATTCTTATGGAGAATATTGTAAAACGTTGTAGTTTGCTTGTTTATGGATATATTTTGATCAAACTTGGCAAATTTATTTATATACTAAGCTACTGTATTAATATTTTCCAAAAAAATACCCTATATCAGTTTCCTTGTAACAGCAAACCTAGGCACTCATTAAACCTAAAGTTATTTAAATAGGTTTAGTTGAAAATCAATTCATATTCATACTAATGGAAATTTGCTTAGTCGGCAGGTTTGCTGCGGCGGGGGTATTTATTCAATCAGTCTATTGTTATTCAATCAGTCTTATTGTTATTCAATCAGTCTTTTGTTTCCCTTGTTTATCTGTAAATAAACTGTACGTTTCTATTAAGGCCATAAAAGTTGAATTTTGTTTCTAAAAGCATTGGCGGATGAGTAACTATTATATGCAACGGATGTAAAGATTAAAATGTTTCTATTTTGTGTCCTCTTCCCGTTGCAAAGCACGGGTACAACAGCTAGTTGTTTTATAATTATTGGTTTTGACATCCTAAATTATGAGTTTTATTAAGTGTAAGCATTGTGAGACATGTTTTACTACTGTAAACATAGCTAAAACAAGTCACTCCAAAATCATTCTAAAAATAATACAAGACTGAAAAATTGTCACTTGATTTAACTAGTAAGACTGATGTCTTGGACTGTTAAATTTTGAATTTTTAATAGTTTAACTATATCCTAACTGATATCACAATTTTTCCTATGCTGAAGAGTTATTTTTAATAAGGTAGGCCTTATTAATATAAGTTATTTTTATACTGATGTTTTTATTAATGTTTTGAAATAAAATATTTTAATATTCTTGTCTATTATTATTATTTTTGTATTAAACCAGTCACGTCATAAATCAGTAGGTATTTAAAATTTTAAATTAGGTCAAAATGTCGAGCATACATTTCCCATTACGTATTAGAAGGGAAATTCTGTCTCGATCTTGTCTAAAAATTTTATGAGAAATAAAAAATCCTGTCTTGTCTCAATCAGAAAATCCAATCTCGTCCTTCCCTAGTTGAGTACCATAAAAATATTGTGTAGTGGAAGTGAATCTGTGTGTTAAGATTTCACAATCAGCATTTTTTTTTATTTGATGGGTCGGAAAAAATAGTAAACCAACCATGTTTGTTACTCAATTTACTGGAAAATCCACTGCTCGCCCACTACTGAACTGTTTCAGTTTATTTTGTTTATGGTAAATTAGCATTACCCATAAATGTTATTAATATAAAAAGTTACTTTAGCAACACTTGATTACCTTTCTTGTGTCCTGATTCAGTTGGTATAATAAAGTCAACACCAGCATCCACATCAGTAGAGTTGTCTGAGAGTTTGCCAATGCCAGAGGCATTTTGTTTGAGCAAAGTAAACTGAATGTTTGGTGGGGACTGACATTGTGCATGAAGAGAAAACTTGAGGTCTACATGTCCAACACACACACTACGAGGCAGAGTCAGCTCAAAAATGTGCTCATCCCAGCTTGTTCTGTTAACAAAATTATAATTAGGAGACTTTATTACAAAACATTTTCAACCACATATTACAGTATTGAAACTAAGTATGAATGTTGTAGGATAATCTCTGATAGAAAAATAGTTCTCCTCACCTAAAATGTAAAAAAAAAACAATTTCTGCACTGAGATTAAGTGAATGTAAACCAAAGCCCATAGGACGGAAGTGCAGTGCTCCAACTAGACCAGCTTGGGCACAACATATACAAAAAGAGAACTGTTGGAATATACTTCACATACTTAGTTGAAAGAACCTCGTATTAAAATCAGACTTAATTTATACTAGTAACCATAAAAATTTGAAGCCAAAAAAACGTGGTGCAATCTGTGGAGATGGTCTACAAACTAATGACAAAATTCCGTGTTAAGTTCAAATCAATCAGCTGTTTGTTATGATACTGCATTGGTAACCCAATACACTAGTAAACTATGGTGAGCTGGACCTGAACTTCATCTATTTTCTTGGCTTCAAAATTTTATGTCACATGGGAAGTCTATTTTGTGTATAGTCAATGGTATTACTTACAAAAATATCTTACTGGGCTCAAATAGGTATTCAATTAATTAAATCATAAATTATTGATGGAAATTACTGTAATTAAATGCCCTATTTTGGCCTAGTTTACAGCCAACAAATTTGGTGCATTACAAACTGATAAGCAATTAAAACAAAAGGTTGGTGAGGTACTGACAGGTCATGCTGTAGACGCCAAGATCGGGTGTGGTGAACGTCGTCTGCGTGCTGCAGGTGCTGCGGGTGTCTGCGTTGCTTCTGCGCCTGCATCAGCTCAGCCCAACATGCAGGCAAAGTGGCAGCGAAACAAGGTACAAGGTTCTCAAACTTGGTAAGCTCATAGAGTGCTGACAAGTCCAACTCGGAGGCATTGACTAGCAGAGGGAAACTGCAACAGAAACACATAGAGAGTCTCCGTTATAGAGTATTGTTCCGGGGCGCAGCTACACATTTTTCTAGGGGGGCTAAATTTGCCACCCTGTCACCACGCTACTGTAGATTTTTTTCCAATGGCATTTTACAGTCAGTCTTAACAAAAGGCACACAAACTGTTTTAAGAAAATGGCCCAAAGGTTTAATGATACTTGTATATTATGTATTTAAAATTTAATCATTTTCAAAATTGGTCATATTTAACGCTTAAACCTGTACGTACAATTTTTAATATTTGGTTATTAAATTGCTGCGAACATACAACTCTCAATACATAAGTTCCTCAAATAAAGTAAAAAAATTATTATTTTTTATTGTTAACAGCAAATGTCTTGATTATGTCAGAAAATTGATCTTTTTTGCTCTTACATGTTTAATTGAGTTGTTACTACTTGCTGATAATAGCTGAGTCTTTGTTCATCTTGTCTAATGATCAGTGGCGGATCCGGCCAAGAGTCGCTAGGGGCACTATCATCATTCTAGTTCATAAGATTTAGATTGCTTAAAGCATACAATACAATAAATATGGGAAACAAAAATCATTGAAAACTGAACAGCCAACAATGTAAGACAAAGATACAGAAAATGCAATGACATAATTTGAAGTAGGCCTACGTAGTGATTCAAAATTAATGCAAACAACAATTCTTGTGGTTTTGTCAGTTGAAAGATAAAATATCCATAAAAAAAGGGTTTAACTTACAAAATAAGACTGTAGATTAGTTACATTGCCGTGATAAAATATTAATGGGTTTGAGACTGCTAATGGGTTTTTATTGGTAAATACTCTACTAATAAATTATGAAAATGTAAACAAACATCTGATAAACCTTTTATGTGCTACTAACCAAAGAGTGATGGATAAAATTATTGCCCCCAACTTAAAATGGCCCATAAAACTATTTAAGGACATAGTCTGACATTTAAGGACAATTCCGTACATTTCATGGCCAGTAAAAAATTAAGTACAATTACCGGATTTCCCGGTTGATAAACACCCTTTTTCATACTAATCTATCAACATTTCAATAAAAAACATACCTCAATACCTTCCCTGTAGCAGCAAACAAAAGTACTCACTAGAATTAATGTTTTATTAAATAAGAAATCAATTTTAAGGTAATATTTTAGTAGAAATCCAGCCAGGTAAATGGAAATTTGCTTAGACTACAGGTTTGCTGCAGCAGGGGTATTATTTTATTAGCATTTAACGCAATTTAAAGAATTCAAGAATCTGTATTTATATGCCTACTAGCTGTACCCGCGGGCTTTGCCCCGCTTAACATCATAAGTATTCGCATGGCTCAATCACGTCCTGGATGAAGTTCGTTCGCTACGCTCACTCACCTTCAGGTTGGAAATCGATCGCTGCGCTCACTTGTTTTCAGGTTAGTTCGTTCGCTACGCTTACTCGCCTCCAGGTTGATGTTCGTTCGCTACGCTCACTCACCTTTTGGTTGCAAATTAGCTGTCGTCATAAATTTAAAAAAGTCGTCCCTTTTATTGTTTACTAGCTGTACCCGCGGGCTTTGCCCCGTTTAACTTCTTCATTTTCAAGATGAGCTTCTTTCGCATGGTTCAATCACGTCCTGGTTGAAGTTCGTTCGCTACGCTCACTCACTTTTAGGTTGGAGCTCGTTTGCTGCGCTCACTTGCCTTCAGGTTAGCTCGTTCGCTACGCTAACTCGCCTCCAGGTTGAAGTTCGTTTGCTACGCTCACTCACCTTTTGGTTGCAAATTAGCTGTTGTCATAAATTTAAGAAAAAAATAATAGTGCTGCACCCTGTTGGTAATCCTTGTAACTTTAATGCTATTGCACATCATAGAACAGAACCAACTTGTTTAATTGAAACAGCTGTTAAGATTCATTAATTCCATTCAAATATGAGTACTCATAAGGTTAACATGGGAAACTCCAGAGCCACTGGGGCGGAGTCCGAGAGTCCGATCAGAATAAAAACTACTTAGTTGTCCTATTTAAAGCCCAAAGAATCAGTGTACCAAATTTCAGCCTCCTAGGTAAATGGGAAGTGGGAGAATTAGTGATGAGTGAGTGAGTCAGTCAGTCAGTGAGGGCTTTGCCTTTTATATATATAGATAATACAGTACTTTGATAATGGTTTTTATGTTTTAATATTTAACATTGGAGAATTTAAACGTTGTTAAGTGCACAGGTGTGATGCGATTGGGGTTTAATACATTTGGACTTATTCAAAAGTAAAATTGTTTTCTGTGCTGCTATCTGTAGAAACACTGTGGCACTATTTCAAATCATGACTAATGCTAATACAGAATGTTGTGATTATTCAAACCTACAAAACAGTTGGTGAAAGTAAACATCTGATTTTAAATTATATTTATTTGTAAACATTGTAGATAAAAAAGTCTGACATTGGCCCACTTAAAACCCTCTGGGGTAGAGCCCTTTTGACGGATCTGCACCAAACTTCACTCGAACCATCCTTGAAAGATTCTTAATAATGCCTGAAAGTTTCATTACAATCTGTCGAGCGGTTTCGGAGTCCATAACGTATATACACACACACACACACACATACATACATACATACATAGTTCCTCTTTTATAGATATGGATATACAATTTTACTTAAGTTTTTTTTACTATGCTTCTATTTACAACATTTAAAGACAAATTCTGTAAAGTAACATACATAACCACCATTACTACAGTTCACAGTTCACAGTCAGTAGTGCCAATAATGTATTGATGATAATAATATAATTATAAATCTTTTGTCATTCGTATACATAAAATACAATTGTAAAAGATTGTATTTATGTATATTATTTCATGTTCATAACTTTTTTACAGCTTAGGAGTTGCCTCAACTACAAGAAAGAAAATAATTTTTTTTATCAAGCCATTCTTTCCCATTTTCATAACTGTTGAAATATCTAAATAGCTATATTACAACAAGTTTGTTAGGGGTGGGCGAGTACTCGACCTTCGAGTAATTACTCGAGTTTTTGCAAATACTCGACCTCGAGTCGAGTAGTAATTACTACTCGAAAATTCGAGTCGAGTAGTTATAAATAGTGCCACTTTACGATTTTCTCCACCCATATTCAAATAAATTATATTTTGTTTTGTGTTGATGCCTTATTTAATCCCCATTCCTACAAAAAACAACTACCTAACCTCTTATAGGTTAGACCAGCGTAAATCAAATGTTCAACAAACAACCATCGTCATTCGGCAGAGCTAGCAAGAGGACTACTAACAGACTTTCACTTTCCTACAACAGTCAACAATACGTCTCGATAACGATACAGTAAGTTGAAATAAAGCATTGAATGAATCTACCGAATTGCAATAGTCGATAGTCAACAAGGGAGTCTCATGACTAGTATAACAATGGCAGACGATTCTTGAAGATATTATAAAGTAAAGTATCAGATTTAGTTTGAAATGCCATAAAAATATTTTATACCAAAATGTAGAAATAACAAAATATTTTATACCAAAATATAGAAATACAACAAATAAAAATAACCTATTGTAGCATAATATGTTTTCACATTAATCGGTATTGGTGTTTAGTTTTACAAACCGATAAGTTACTGCAAGGAACATCGATGCATCCGAATGACGCAATCTCATTGGGTCTTGGCAGAAAGAAAAGATCAATTCCACTTTAAACTCAGTGTTGCCAGATGGACGATAATTTTTGTACTTTTACAACTGTGGTATTGGCGTAAACAAACTTACTTACTTACTCTTACTCCCAGGGCCATTTATATCGGAGGTGATATTTGGCCGCACCAACAAATCTTCGCCAAGTTAACCGGTCTTTCGCATCATCCTCCGTTGCCCCAATTATCTCCAAATCTTCTTGCACTTGCTTCCACCACCTCTGCTTAGGTCTTCCCCGGGGTCGTCTTCCTGTAGTGTTTCCCTTTAAAACTCTTCCCAGTCTACAATCTTCATCTCTTCTTAATATATGACCAGCCCATCTGATTCTTCGGCACTTGATTTCTCCAATTACATCTGTGCTATTATACAGTTGCAATTCCCTATTGTGTCTTATTCTCCATTCTCCTAGCTCGAATATTGGTCCAAAAATCTTCCTTAAAATTTTATTTTCGAATACTATTAGTTTCTTTTCATCTCTTTTATTTAATTTCCAGGTTTCTGATCCATATAGGAGAACTGGGCAAATTATTGTTTTGTACAGCCTGATTTTTGTTTTCCGGGACAAAGATTTTGATGAAAGTAATTTATTGCAAGCATGAAAACATTTATTTGCTGAATTTATTCGGCTTTGGATTTCTAGTTCATCAGTATTTTGGTTGGATATAATTACTCCTAGGTATTTAAAACTGTTGACTTTTTCAAATGTATGGCCATCAATTTCTATTGGTTCTTCAGTATTATCCAGGTATCTTGAAAAGTGCATGTACTTAGTTTTTGAATCGTTTGTTTTTAGGCCTACTTTTTCTGTTTCTTTCATAAATACTTCGGTTAAGGCCTTCAGATCTTCTAGTTTTTCTGTGATTATAACCACATCATCTGCAAAGGCTAAGATGTTTATTTTGGTTCCTATTTTCACTCCTATGTTCTTCTCTGCTACCTTCTGTAGAGCTTCTTCAATGGCAAAATTAAATAGGATCGGTGATAGCCCATCTCCTTGTCTGACACCAGAGTTTACTTCAAAGGTGTTACAGTTGTGGCCATCAATTCTAACTGAACATTTAGATCCTGAAATACTCATTTTAATTAAGGCTATAATTTTATTCGGTATGCCGAATTTTCTTAGCTGTGTCCACAATTTGTCCCTTCTTATGCTGTCGTAAGCCTTCTGAAAGTCGATAAATAAGGCATAAAATTCTTTATTGAACTCCCAATAATTGGCTACTATTTCTTTTAAGATAAATATTTGGTCACTTGTCAATCTACTCTTCATAAACCCCGCTTGATGCTCACCTATCAACTCGTGTGAGTATTGTTCTAGACGGTTTAAAATAATTTTTGAGATAACTTTATATGGGATACTAAGCAGTGAGATTCCCCTATAGTTATCACAAACTTCTTTCTCACCCTTTTTATGAATAGGGATAGTGACTGCTTCCTGCCATTCCATACTTTTGGAGTGGTAGGAAACAAACAAACTATAAGTATAAAATTTATTTTCTAATGAGTTTACATAAACATGATTAAAATTAGTCAAACTATTAATTTTTTGTACGAAATAAAAGCTATAGCAATTTTATGATAATTTTACCGACATTCACCATAATGGTGTAATGATAAATATGGCATCGTCAGCCCTGCAAAACAGCTGTTTGATGGGAAAACAAAGCAGAAGCAGAATGAGCAGACTGACTAGAGAGAGAGAGAGAGAGCAGATATGGTGACAGCTGGTGTAACAACAAAACAATGGATTGGATTGAAGTTATGACAAAGTCAATGTCAGTTTTGAATGTTTTTACTTTGAAGTGAATTTGTAACTTAAAATAAAATTGATTTTGTTAGTGGACGTTTAATAGAAAGTAAAATAAACATATTCTGTTTGTGATTTTGATTGTGCAATTTTCAATCTGGTGGCAGAAACATGACAACTACAGTTTGAATTGTAACTTAACCAGAAAATGTGAGTTTATAAAGAAAAGAAAGGCCAAATAGGCTATACCGGGCTACAGTGAAATGTGTTTTAATTTTAAATTAAGTGTTTAATGTGGGATTTTATTTCGAGATAATAGGCCTACTATGTTTTTGTTTGATATTTTCAGTCTGTCAGAGACGAGTGACTTGATCATTTTTATAAATGTACTGAGTGAAGAGGATAGCCCTAGTACCCATAACCTTCAAACTTAGACAGATGAAGTGCTTATCCAATAGTGATTATTTTAAAATACCTAATTGCATATTGATGTTTTTAACTTGTGATACAATATGTAGTTTGATATTAGTTTTCTGTTTTATAAATAAATTTATTTTTATAAATTCTGTTTCTTATTTGAATTGAAATTATTCTTAAAGTTACCTTATTAAGATAGTTGGTTAGGTTGATTATCATGTTAGCGAGGAGGAATTAAAGGCAAGAAAAAATAAAACACATAATAACAAGTGATGTGTAGGCCTAAATAATTTAATGCTGCAGCCAACAAGTAGTCTAGGCCAAATTTTTTATTAGGCCTAAGGTAGGAGGTACTAATAATTAGTAACCATATAACTTACAAAATTTGGTATAAGTACTTAAACTACCTATATAGGCCTAGGCAGGGCTTAGCCTAGGGTGAAATTTGTTTTAGCAAAATGCTGCAAACTCTCTGCAAAGACAAAAACTAAGTTAACTGTAGAAAAAATATTATTCAGTACCGGTAACTTAAGCATTTAAAACAAAAAATTCCAGTAGGCTAATATTACATTTGTTTGAACATTACATCTTTCAATTTTATTTGTAGAAAATTTGCCATAGGCCTAGCCTGCAAAACAATGTAAACTTAGCATTTTTAAGTTGTGAATAGCAAGATGCTAATAATACTACCGCAGCTTAAACCCCTTGGCCTAGGCCTACTTAACGCGCAACTACTCGACTCGATTCGATACTCGAGTTTTTACTCAAATACTCGACTCGACTCGACTCGAATTGAAAAATCACTACTCGGCCACCCCTAAAGTTTGTAATGGAACTTAATATACAAGGATCATAAACAAATCAATTAACCTTATCACAAGTTTAGGGCCTGTGGACTGGCTTCAAGACTGCAAGCAAGAAGAAAATAAAAATTTGATGTTTCCACCATGCAATATGAATCATTCATTCTCTGCCTCCTAACCTCCTAAGTATAAAAACCTCACAATTACAATAGCATTATTAGTTACATCAACATAAATAAAGAATTATCTATTATTGGCATTAGTAGGCCTACAGCATTACATAGGAATTATTTTTTATAGGGCCTAAAATAGTAATAGGCTAAGCAACATGACAAGTGGAGAACTCATTGAAGAAAAGATATTGTGTAAACTAATTTACTATGAAACTCTAAAACAGTAAATAACACACATACATTGTTTATGGTATAGTTATAGTAAAGACTCTAAAAATTGCATATCATGTCATACACAGTATTATAGACCTACGGTATTGCAAGAGATTAAAAATCCATAAACTCAAGTCAAACAATATCACAATTCATTAGGTACCCGAAAAGGAACTCGTAATATATAGAAAATTATATTAAATCAAGAGAAAAGAAAGTTAAATGCTAATTTGGCAACTTAAGCAGACAGCAGAGACATTATAGTGCCCTAATTAGCAACACAACTCAATGTTTTTATACTGTAAGTCAATGTTTTTGAAACTGTAGGGTCTTTTTCTCCGAAGGAAGGGTAGTAGAATGTTAACAAAAAACCATGAATCACTCTCACAGCCAGGTCCGGCCCGGGGACACTCAGGTTACAGACCCTCCCCCTCCCCTCCCCTCTTACACAACCCGAGCCAGGCCCGGGGACACTCAAGGTCATAGACCCTCCCCCTCCCACACCCCTATTACACCACCCGGTTGTTCCAATTGCTGACAAAATGCAAGTAACAACAAGGAAGTAGGGACAAAAAGATATATTTCTTTATTCAAAAATATAAAACTGTTACAGATAATTTCCAAAGAAATTAATTCATTGTAGTTTGTGTCTTGTAAATATTGTATTGGATCTTAGAAATATCTTTTTTGAAACTCAATCTAACTTAAGAAAAAAATAATTTTACTAATGAAAACTTTCATAAAAAAAATATTTAGGCCTAACCTCTTTGTAGACTTGCTGATACTTGATACTTAAAAAAAAATGAAATGGTGACCATACAATGCCGAACCAGACGATCAGAAGTGTTGTTTTGTTTTGTTACCGAATGACAAAAAGGACAATAGGAAAATAAAAGAACAAGATACAGATCTGTACACTATATCAGATATTTCTTTAGTTTATAATTTATTATGTAAAATACTAAAATATATTTTAAACTAGGTATGGAATAAACAATAAATAATTAAACTGGTACTTCTGGATAAATAGTCTTTCTTTTGACTTTGTTTTCTTTGCACTGTTGCGTCACGGCTTTAGTCGGTAGACGACTGGCTCTGGCTAGTGACAGTACGGCAATTGCTCTGTTGTGTCTTTGTTCTTAAACGTGAGCAATCTTAATGTTTAATTCTAATTTTATCGTTTTAATTCCTCTGTAATAATATATATAAAAGTGTTTCTTTGAAAATAACTTATTATAACTTTGAAAATAATAATTATTTTTTCTGGCCCGCCCGATCTTGGCCCGACCAAATCTCTGACCCGACCCGGTCTCTCGGGCCTTCCGCTGGCCCGACCCGACCCGAAAAAATCGGGGACCCGCAGACCCCTACTCTTAAGTAATTTCCTGTAAACTGTTGTGTTGTACTATGATGTACTAATTAATTATAGGTGGTTTCTATAAAATTTCAACGTATATTTGTATGGGTTATCAGGGTGTCCACTGGCCAGCGTCGCATCGACATAAAGTTCAAGGTTTTCCAGGTTCAAAATGTAAAATGTCCAGGACAAAGCTTGCCCCTCAAACTAAGCCAAGCTTTACTTGTTTATGCTAAGCCCTCCGGTGTATTCCGTGATAATTGCTCACAAACAGAGCCACGTCAGTAATCATATATTTTGATTGCAGTAAAATTTGTAAAATAATAATAATTTCCTGGCATCGTGGGAACATCCGTGTTGATTTCTCGTGATCACTATCTGAGATCATCATGCTATCGGGACTAAATTCGTGATGATTTTTCTGTTATCTCGGTAAAGGCAATGATTGTTACTTGCTTTCACAGCCAGAATTGCAGTTAACTTTGTAAGCGTCTCACAATTGTGTGATAATTCTCATAATATGCCCAACATACGTGATGATTTCTTGCGATCATGGCTGCATCCACTATCATCTTTAACGATTATCACAACACCTGTGACTATTTTGCTATCTTGACCACATCTGTAATCATCTTGCAATAGCGACAAAATTTGTAATGATTTACCGTAATCACTCCTTGATGATTTCATGATAGTTTATCGCAATCACGTATTTTCAACTACGCAAAATGGAAAAATCAGTGATTTTGGGCGGTTTTTTCCACCATGCAAATTTGTTTAGAAGCTTAGAAAAATTTTTTTGAAAATTTTTAATTTCCTGGTTCTTGATTTTAAAAAAAGTACGTACAATTCACAGATTTTTTCCCAGTCAACAAAATTTACATACAATTCCCGGTTTTCCCGGTTTCCAGGTCAGCTAGACACCCTGGTTTTTATTAGTTTTTTTTTTCTCATACATTCACTTATACGGCAATTATGGTACCGGTAATCCAATGCTACCACTCCTAATATCCTGCCGGATTAGCTAGACTACACTGTATTTAAATTGTTCATACTAATACTTACTCTTTTGGAGACTGCTTTGGAGAGTAGAAATTGCTTTCCAAATTTTCAAAAGTGTTCTCTTCTGACCTGACCAAGTCTTCATCGTGGAGGGTAAAGAAATGCAAGGAACCTTTCTCCGAAGCTGCACACACTCTTTCCAAACCTTTTGGAAAAAATGATAAATGGTGTTAAACCAAAAAAATTATTTTCAAAATATTTTTTCACAGGATTAGGTATGAAATAAGAAATTTAAATGCACACAGTGCTAACATCTGCAATGGAGACATACGCTGCAACTTGGGGAACTACTGAGCTTATCACCAGAGTTTGCTCGCACCCAAACAGTCTTAAGGCAATTCAAAAGAACATTTAGAACATGTATAGAAACGGTGCAAATTCAATTGCCAGTATGTCTGCTTAACAGAATGTCCACAGTGCGAAATTTAACATTGCCTGGGACCACAAGCATAAGGGGCTGCAAAGTTTAGTACAAAAACTCTTTTTAAAAACAAAAATTGAATTTTGAATTTTTTAAATTAATAATTTTCTTTGACTGGAGGTCTTGATGATGATGTCCCTGTGATCGCAAGAGATATTTACAATTGTTCCGCGACTGCGGGTGACAGTTTTCCACGAGTTTCATGGGGGGATAAGAATGTACCCGTGATAGCGAAAGATGTTTAAGATTTGGCCGTGATCGCAGGAATTATAATTTCCCCCTGATAGCCGGAGATGTTTTTTGTTATGGCCTGATCGAGGTTGATGATAAAGATACCCGTTATAGCAACGAGATGTTTACAATTTTGCCATGAGTGCAGGTGATGATGATGATGATGTCCCAGTGATCGCAGGAGATATTCACGATTTGTTCGTGATCGTGGAGAAGTTCAAAATATGGGGTGGGGGCTGCTCGTGTTATTTTAGCCTAGTGTCGCCAGTACCCAAAATGTGGCCCTGGCTGTCCAGCTCCCAATCAAATAAAATTCAAGGACAATTCCAGGGTTTCCAGGTTCAAAAAGTCCAGGACAAAACTTGCTGCTCAAAGATTGTAAAGTCACTACAAACAGGCTATACACCTTTATCAACATTTATGCAAATTAAAATGTGCATTTTAGTAAAATAATGATAATTTATTATTTAGTGGGCAGAGTAATACATATTGCATCCAAAAAACAACAAAAAACTGTTTGTAGGCAACAGCAAAAAGGAGGATTCATTTTGGGAAGTTAATTTTTAAAAGGTAGGCTCAAACAATGAGCACAAAATATTATTTTGCGAATTATTTAGCTCAAAATGACTCTTTTTCAACCTCGTCTATTTTCAAACATCAACCTGACATGCCCCGGGATAATTGAGGTTCTACTGTATTCTGTTTGGTGGTTGATATAATATATTCAATTTAGTGTCAATTAATAATATTCCATTTTCCTACATATATATATATATAATTATTATTTTTTTTAAGGGAGAGGAGGGAAAATGCTTTTACGCAAACAGGTAGCCAGTCTGTAGTGTGGGACTCCTGAATTTATCAAAGACTACTCACTAAAAAAACCCCTTTATTCTGTTGGACACAGACCTGGAATTGTTTGTCACATTACTTCAAGTCAGGCCAACATGTGACCTAAGCCCTCAGGGCTCTCACCGTTCAAGGTCGAGCTTCTTGGCGCAGAGAATACCCTGGATGTAATGTGACACACAGGTCCAATTGTCCTCACCCTCCGTCATCATCGGTATGAACGTGTTCACTGAAAGCAGTCCTACTAACTGTTGAGCCTCCAGGCAGGGCCTTTCCCAACGCTGGCAGTGGAAAAAGGTTCCACGTTATCAGGAATGCCTGGGCAGTATATGCAATCGGGTGACACGGCTTTGCCCATCCTGAACAGGTACGACCGGAAAAAGCCGTGACCCGTCAGAAATTGGGTGAGGTAGAAGTCCACCTCTCCGCACCGCCGATTAACCCAAGGTTGGACTTGCTGTATCAGTCACCTGGTCCAGCGTCCCCAAGTCTCCTGTTCCCAGCTCTCCTACCACAGCTGGTAGGTGCGGGTGCTGGCGGGTGCTGGTAGGTAGGGTGCGTTCCTCTGTTCGTGCCTGGTCCTCCCCACGGCGCTGATAAATTGCCTTTTTCTCCGCCACCAAAAGTTTGACGGGGATGACTCCAGCAACCACCAGGACGGCGGGTTCCGACACTGTTTGGTAGGCAGATGCAACACTGTCCCTGACCAATTATACGCACTGTCCCTGACCAAATCAGTCAGGAACGGGTATACCCTCCGGGACAAAAACCCCCAGTTCCCCGGGGCCTGATCTCAGTTTGCCCAGCCTGGATACCTGACGTGCTGGGGGTCGCCTGTCTTAATGCAGAGCCCGACCTCTACCTCCATGCCGCACTCCCTGACCAAGGACCGAAATGGCTGGCTTCTCACAACCCACTGAGAATGCCCATCGGCAGTGCAGAGCACACATCAATCTCTGCAACACAACAGGGGCACTCCCAGTGAGAACGTCGGTCACCCTTTTAGTCGCCTCTTACGACAAGCCCGAGAAGGCTGCAGTGCTATTCTGACCCGGTACCGCATGGGAAATATTTTCCTTGTCAGTTGTATAATTTAATGTTGTGTTTTAGTGTTTGTACTTTTTACAATAGTTCTCAAACGTTTAAAGTTTATTAAATTTAGACACGATAGTGGTAAATAAGACTAAACTATTCAGTTAATGCATAATATAAACCTTTAATTTAATACAGAGTTAGATAGCCTATTAACTCGCCAGCAATGTCCAATCGCAAGCTAGGGCCTAGCCCAGCTTAGTGCATCAGCAATGTTTTCTATACTTGGTAAACCCTCAAAATGCGACCTGAGGACAACAATCCGTCTCAAAACAAGAGGAAATATGGGGTAAATAATGTAAACTAATAACTTGAAATAGATCTCTTTCTTTGTCTTGTGAGAATTAAGACAAGCCGAGCTTTTGAAAACCCCACAAGTTCGTTTAGTTTGTAGACTTTATCGTCGTCTCTTGCAGACACGGAATCATCATCATTATCTTCCGCGATCAATGCAAAATCCTGGACATCTGCCCCTATTGTGTACACATCACCATCATTTCCTACTATTAAGGAAACGTTATCAACACTCCAAGTAAAAGGACAGGAGATTTAAACACTAATTGACTTTTATTTGAACTTGGTAGTTATTTTCTGCTTTATTTTTATTCCCTTCTAGATCAATCATAAAGCACTGGCATGTGAACAACCACTAAACGAAATTTGGGCTCAGGACGGATTTTTTCGGATATCCTCTCACCTATAGTGTAAATGAAAAGATGTATACAATTGGAGTTAACACACAGGCAAAACTAAAGTACCTATAAACATAACATTTGGTGTTCACACTCATTTTCAGGGTAGGTGCTTGGTAGTACTTTAAATGTATGTCAAGTCAACAATTACTATACTCAATTACATCTTACAAACTAAAGGGGGTTACGCACATGAAGCTGCAGTATAAAAGCTTGTAATTTCTTATATCGGACTCGAATTTAGAAATAGTGTTTAGTTCAGTATGATAAATACTCACTATTGCAATAAGTAACAGAAACAAATTGAATGTTTTCTTTATGAGTGGCACAAGCTTTGATGTCGAGGGTAGCGATGTCAATGAGCATGAGCTGGCCACTGTGAGTGACTACAGCAGCTACTCCCAGTGGATTGGCTGTAGACTCTCCCTCTAGAGGTAGCAATGTCAGTGATACCACTTCTGTCTGTAACACCTTCACACACACCGGGGTCTCCACCAACATCACTGATGGTTCACTCAGGATCAACTTGTACAACAACAACATCCCACTAGTCACACTGTTAACACTCCTCAATACCACCAACAGATGCTGTCCGTCTTTTGTGGGGTGTAGTTCAGACACATATAAGTCATGGTTGAAAGTGTCCACGATAACCGATTGTATTGGAACTGGTTCTTGAGCTAAAAAAGAACTAGTGTCAAGAACACCATTTGAGTTTTCTACACTGGAAAGGTCACTGATTGCGTCAGACTTGGAATCTCGTTCTACGATCTTGGGCACTAGTTGACTGGAGCCATTAGAGGTGGATGGAAACACTTCCAGCCCCTCGTTGATGGCCATAGAAGTGTCGAACGTGCCACCACCTGCTGTTGGAACCGCCACACCAAGCGGCACTGGACAACTGATACCTGAAACATACGTCCGGAATGGTCAGTACATATACCAGTGATTCAAAAATGCTGGTTCAAACCACCTCCTATATATCTGTACTGTGTGTAGCTGTGTACTGGATGATGCAAGTTATTCTTACACGGCTACACACAGAGAGAGAGAGGAGGGGAGGTGATGGGATCGATCCCCTACAATCAAGGAATATGCCTGTCATGAAATTTTGATAATTAATTGTTTGAAAAAAATAATTAATTTAGTGGCTGAAATAGATATAAGCAAAATAGTTATAGTTTTTGAACAAGTGGACTGTATTTTGTTTTATTTACATTAGAGGAATCGCTTACTGTTTTTGTTAAATCTTCTTGAAATGGAATACACATTTTTATAGTTATTTGTGCAACTAGTGAGCGAGTGAGGCAATTGCATTTTGCACTCTAGTTGCACATTATATTTTTCCTACCGTTACCATAAAACAAATAAATTGGTAAAGAAACGTAACATATTTTTGCACAGAAGTTAACTATTAATATGACATTTAATGATACAACAGTACAACATCTGACCAGCTGATTTACAGCCAGTGCTGCCAACGTATTTCGCACGCATACGACCTTGTCTGCATGTTACGCGCTTACTATTTCGTGCCTTTACGTTGCAAATCTGGAGTGAGACAAAGTAATTAGAGTGAGACAATGTTAACATTGTCTCACTGATGAGCGAATTGGCCACTTTGCTTTCTCAAACCAGTGAGAGAACATGTACATTGTTAGGTAACTGTAGGAAAAGTAATTTTCTTAGCTTGATTTTCACTTTTCCTTATGGATTTTGGCTTCTTTTCCATCTTCATAAGTCACTTGTCTAAGATGTTGTTTTTAAATAATAAGATGACTCAACTTGTCATGTTGCCTATTACTATTTTAGGCCTTATAAAAATAATTCTTATGTAAAGCTGTAGGCATACTAATGCCAATAATAGATCAATTATGTATTTATGATGATGTAACTAATAATGCTATTGAAAATGTGTTGTTTTGTACTTAGGAGGTTAGGAGGGAGAGAATGAATGATACATATTGCATTGTGGAAACATAGAATTTTTATTTCCTTCTAACAAGTTTTTAAGCCAGTCAACAGGCCCTAAAATTTGGATATGTTAATTGATTTGTTTATGATATTTTTATATGAAGTTTCATTCAAAACTTGTTGTAATTCAGGTATTTAGTTATTTCAACAATTATAAAATGGGAAATGGCGTCTTGATAAAAAAAAAAACATTGAATTTTTAGCGAATTTCCCATATAGGGAATAAGCTATTACCGTAGGTCTCATGGTAAGACCTGGACCTGGGACTTATTTACTTTTTCATTTTGAGGTCCCTAGAGGCTAAAAACCCCATCCGTTCAAATTCATATATATATGAATAAATATGAAAAATCAGGAATATATCAAATCAATTTCAAAGATTGTTCTAAATTTTATATCGGACAAACAGGACGATCAATTTCTTGCCAATTCAAAGAACACATTCAATCAGTAAAATCCAACAACATGAAAACTCAAAAATCAATGTACCCGGAACACATTTTATCACATTACCATAGTTATGGAAAAATTGAAGATAGTGTCAACATTTTAGAATATGAACAAAAAGGCGAAAGGGTTAATGTAAAAGAACAATTATATATATCTAGCAACAAGAACAAATGAAAGCAAAATCCTTAACATAATGCAAACACAAAATTTAAACCCAATTTATGTTAAGATCCAAGAATTAAGACAAAATTAATAATTAAAACCATTGGCATAACGATATTCTTAATTATATAATTTTCCAAGTCAAGATAGATTTAGTTAAAATTTAAACATGTGATTGTATTTATTTTCTTTGTTTACATATTAGATTTAATAACATTGTGAAAGACTGTGACCATGACCTTAGTGTTAAAATGCATCAGTCATTAAAAATAATTTTTTTTAAAGAATACTAAGGTGTATTATTTATTAATATTTACCCTATATATTTATTTATATATATATATATATATATATATATATGTCCATTAGCATGATAACTTGAACAAAAATGATCCGATTTTGATGAAATTTGGTATAAAAGTGTAAACCTACATTTATTCGAAAGAGTTCGCGAACCAGCATAATCTGGCCATGGGACAGGGGTTTATGGGGTAAAAGGTCTTATGGGGTAAAAATATTGCATAAATATATACTTCTGAACACTGGGTGAACATATGGTGAAACAAATTATGCGCTATTTGAAAGCTACAATGGACTATAGAATAAAATATGACAAGCAGCCTGAGAATCAAAAGTTAACCATATACCCTTTTATTTCAGCTGAATAATATCAAAATAAAAATGGTTCCATCAAACACTGTTAGGTTTGTCTACGAATTTTTATTGTATAAAATTGGTACAATTTTTGTTCCTCCATAAAATTTATATAAAACATAGGTCATTTTCTTTGAGTATCCAAAATTTTTTGGATGTTTTAAATTATATGTTTATATTATTATATTTATGATTTAACATTTGTCATATCGGGATTTACAATAAATTGCTTCAATTTGCTGAGGTAAAAGATCAATTCTATGGTTAAATATATAAAACGTTGTATTATAACAATAGTTATTTGTGCAACTAGTGAGAAAAGTGAGCAATTGACTCACTCGAGAGAAATCCTTACTCACGAGCCGTAGGCGAGTGAGGAATGGTTTCTCGAGTGAGGCAATTGTACTTTGAACTCGAGTTGCACATTATACTTTTCCTACAGTTACCATAAAACAAATAAATTGGTGATGAAACATAACCTATTTTTACACAGAAGTGAACCTTAAATATAACATTTAATGTGAAGTGACAAATGCAACAGTACAACAGCTGACCAGCTGATTTATAGCCAGTGCTGCCAACGTATTTCACGCGCATACTACGTTGCCTGCATGTTACGCGCTCACTATTTCGTGCCTTCACGTGGCAAATCTGGAGTGAGACAATGTTAACATTGTCTCACTGATGAGCGAATTGGCCACTTTGCTTTCTCAAATCAGTGAGAGAACATGAACATTGTTAGGTAACTGTAGGAAAAATATTTTTTAAATTATAACCTGTTTTCTCACATCTGTTTTCTCATGCTTATAGGGCTGCGTTCTACCCGTCTGACGCGCGCAAATGCAAAGGGTTTAGTTCTTAGGCCTGCCGTTTGTGGCCCCAATTGTGAACAGCTTTAAAAGATCTTGGTGTCATAAAATGTTATTGTAGGTTTGCCATTTTATATTTACGTTTAATACTGTTTACGTATGAAGGCATCTCGGCTACTATAATAGCCAGTTGTTCCTCCAAATAGATTTTTTATACAAATTACTGATACATAAAAGATAATCATAAATCTTTGAAAACAGCAGTCATTTTATTTAATAATTTGAACGTTTGGATAAAACTGCAAACCTGATAAAGTATGTCTTATTTTTGAACATAATTGGTAACCTAATTTTATTGCAAACATTACCAAGATTTGTTAATTTTTTTTTACATAATTGCATTTTCCCGATGCAATGTATTCAGTAATAGTGTATTATTCCAAATTCAATGACAAATTGAGTAACTTCAAACTTTAGTATAAAATGAATTTAACTGCAAGTCCACAACCTTTTATACAATATCAGTAAATACCCTGTACAATTATAATAATTTATGAACCAATCATTATTACGCAACGTCATCCTATTATTGTTTTGGGGCTCGTCGACCGCGAGCAGCGGCCTGGCAGGTGGCTGTTGCCAACCTCCCAACGAAAATTCCCAGATAATCCCTGCTCTTGATCGACGGCCAGCGTTGGTCTCGGCTAAGCTTGATCTCGGCTAACGCTCTATGTCGTGAACCCATTTTTTGACCGTCGGTTAAAATTGGTCGAGATCAACGATAACCGCGGGCCACGAAACCCCGTACTCGTGAACCGCCTCTTAGTGACTTATTTTCATAGTTTAACACACGTTGAAGAAATAAATAGTGAGAAAATGACATTATATATTATTTAAGTTCTAATTAATTACAATTATCTTTTTGGTCGGCCTCACTGATCTCTTTGAACTTTTTAGTTTACACACACTTTTATTAATTTCAATCTTTATTTTTCATTTCACATCTATTTATTCATAGCATGCAATAATGTATGAAATAGACAGTAAACACTGGTTATCAACTTTTAGCGAATTTCCCCTATAGGGAATATGCTTTACCGTAGTACTCATTGTAAGACCTGGACCCAGGACCGATTTACTTTTTAATTTTGAGGTCCCTAGAGACCAAAAACACCATCCGTTCAAATTCATATATATATATATATACATATATATATTTATATATGTGTCCGTTAGCGCGATAACTCGAGCAAAAATCATCCGATTTTGATGAAATTTGGTACTAACGTATAAACCTACGTTTATTTGAACGAGTTCGCGAACCAGCATGATCGGACTATGGGAACAGGGGTTTATGGGGGGTTTTATGGGGTAAAAATTGGTTTTCCCCATTTTTGACCCTAAAAACTTAAAATTTAGCAATTTCTTTCCAAACCATTTTGTAGAGCTTAAAAAAACAAATAATTTAGTATATTGAAGCTTTATTATGCGCCTAATCGTTACGGAGTAAATTCCAAAAATCTGTAAATTTAAAATTCCCATGTTATTCTTAGGGAGAATAGGTAAACTGTTGTAGTTTGCTTGTTTATAAACATATTTTGATCAAATTTGGAAAATGCATTCATTTCATACTAAACTATGACATTTTACAAAAAAATACCCTTTTACCCTCCCTGTTGCAGCAAACCTAAGTACTCGTTAAACTATTGTTATTTAAATAGGGAATAAATGTGATATTTTTAAGGAGACATTTTAGTGTAAATCCAGTCAGGCAAATTGAAATTCGCTTAGTCTGCAGGTTTGCTGCGGCGGGGGTATTTTGGTTCGTCCTGATTTAAGAATGATCCAGAAGTATTGAAAGCCAACAAATATAAACGAGAAAATTAAGTTACAATTTGGAATTTTCACATTTTCACATTTACTACATCATAAATAATAAACTATTTTATTTAATACAGGTCAATAATAATAAACTTAACGATTGCTTTATTGATATATAGGCTTATTCTAATTGTTAGTGAAGGGTGAATTTCCTTAGGCCAACCATAAAATTAGCAGTGTCCATTAGTGAGATTAGGTCAGCAACTATCCTCTTGTTCATAATTTTATTTAGTACATTTTTTACTTCATCTTTTTTTAAGGTAAAGGATCCATTACCGAAACACATGTTGTATTTAATTTTTAAAGAAAATCATGCCGTGCTGCATCGAATCGTATCGATTCAAATCGAAATTCTTAGAATCGCATCGATGCATCGAATCGAAAAAATATGCTGCATCGCACACCCCTAAACAAAACTAAGCATGATAGAAAGAAAAGTTAAATACAAACAGTAAAGTACCGGGTGTCCACAAAGTCTTGGTCTGATTTAATAGCTTTGCTGTACGAAAACCATTAGAGCCACACTTAACTTGTATGCCTTGTTTTTAAGGGAATTTAATCAAGTTTTATTTAATAAAATTGGTAATACCGTAACACAGCTGATTGACAACAATACAATCATGATTCAATATAATAACAAATCAGAAATGGCGAGTTTACACAAATGGTGAGATATCACAGTTTGTGTTGTTGTTTCACAAAACCCAATCCCCTATTGCAGTTCAACGACTATCCATTTAAGTGGGAAGGTTAACAGACACAATAATTGTAGAATTTGGGGAAGCTAAAATCTCAGGACCGTGACTGAAAATGAAAGGGCCAGTCCAAAACTAATCTTTGGTGTGGGGTAATGCATGATGAAATCATCGGATAATTTTTCTTTACCGAAGAAAACGTAAATGGGTTTGTTTACTTGGTTATGTTGGAGTTGTATGTAGGCCAATTATAAGAACTGCAACTTATGATAATTTCCAGCAAGAAGGCGCTCCACCTCATTGGGCTAAATCCGTGAGGGATTTTTTTAATCTTCATTTCCCCGAGCGCTGGATCGGGCGTGATGGCCCGACCAAAAGGCCACCTCGTTCCCACCATGTAACCCCCAAAGGGTTTCTTTTTGTGGGTATTTGTCAACAACATTGTCTATTCTTCCCTGGTGCATAATTTACACACACTTGCGGGATGGATTAAGGAATTCTGTGGCGTCTGTAACTCAGGATATGCTGACTTAAACCTGGGACAAACTGAAAAGACGTCTAGAAGATCTGCAGGTCACTGGAGGCGCACACGTAGAGTTGTGATTCGTTTGTACATAGTTATAAAATCTTAAGAAGTTACATGTTGTATCCGTAAATAAATCTTTATCCTACTAGTACTCGTTTTCATACTATGCGGTTTCCTTATTAGACCAAGACTTTGTGGACACCCGGTATATTTAATTATCTACAACTTTCTCACAGACAAAACTTCTCTGACCAACAAACAACAATTTTAGTAGGCGACTAACGTTTTCACTTTACTTTTCCAAACTTTTTCTAATGTGTTAATTTAAAAAAATATTTATATATACTACCATAGACTAACCAACACAAGTAGACTTCTCATCCCATTGTAAATTTTGAAGCTCGTTTTTCATGTCTAGTTCATGTACGCCACACTGGGCGCTAGTGTCGACGAAATTTTGTTTCTATTATTTTAGGGTTAATTTCTTGATTTGTGCTTTACTGTTTGGTTAAATAACTAGGGGACAATTTATTGTTTATGATTAGATCGTAATATTTGGTTAAACGAGGTTTTAAATTACTGTATTAACGGGAAACAAATTGTAAACAAAACACGACCTCTACATAAACCGTACAGAACTAACAATAAAATTGTCTTCAGCTGTTCCATTAGGATGAGAAATCTACTAAGGAAGTATGTTTTATCTATGATACTACCAAATGAAATTTTAATTTTCAAAACCGTACCATTGGCATGAAGAGTTTATTCCCTAGCTCTGTACCAAATTTCAAAAATTTATCTCAATTGTAAGGGTGTAAAAATGCTGTATATTTAAACCGCGACCACTAGTTCCGTACTACCGTAATGGTGAAACGGCCGGGAGTTACTGCTCGGTGCGACGTTGCCAATTTTCGCTGGCCGCGGCCTGTAGTTAAGGGAGGCCGTGATCCAGTACACAGCTACACACAGCACAGACGTAATTTTATCCATACAAAATGTGTATTCTTAATTAGTATCAAATACACAATGTAACTTCAATCAGTTTGTGTATTATAAAAACCGTAAATTGCTCATCATAATGGAACTACTATACTGATCTGCTGTGAAAGTGAAGTACCATCTTATATATTAAAAAAATTTTGTATAAGTATGAACAAGCCTGCAATGACAGCAGTGGAGCAGTGGCAGAGCAGGTAGTCTTAAACCAGCACAATATATTACCACTGAGCTACAAGGTCTAGTGGACCTTTATCAGATTTGTTCTGACTTTGTATGTTAATTTTAATACTGTAAATAGGCCTGAATATTTAACTGGCTTATAACAGCAAGTGTCACTTCTTAGACAGAACAACTTCAAAATAATTTTTAAAACTCTAAGAATACTCATTTGAACAAAAAACTAACCTGATGAAGAAGATGGAGCTGTGAAGTTATCGCCAACAAGAATGTCCTGTGTTTGATAAACAACATCAGCAGAATCTACATCATGCAGTACAGGACTCGTGTACAGAAATTTGGACAGAAATATTTCTGGGTACAAGTTGCTGTTTTCCTGCCTTGATGCACTCGTGCCTGTCCCTGACAACAAAGTCTTAGTGTTGTTGTCCACTTCTCTGTTGCCATTGATCATATTGCTCTGATAGCGGTAGTGAAAATCATAAACCACAAGATACAGTTGCCTCTCAGCAGGCTTGCTTTCAGCTACCTGTAACAATGTTTCATGGGATGCATTTCTTGTAAGATTGCCAAAAATTACGTAATCAAATTTACTTATTTATTAATTGATGTGAAGGATTAGGCAAATTTGTTCATTTACACAGAAAGGTCAGATATGATGATTTTTTTTAAATTTTCTAATTCAACTAATATTGTAACCTACAACAGGTTGCAATTCACATAATGAAGTTGCTATTTATAGCTTATTGATAAGGTCACACTAAATTTTTTGTATTTTTTACTCTCAGCTCTGTTTTGTTTTAAACTTAAGCTTGGAGCGAAGTTCAGCATGTGCTTGTATAGGAATCCCAGAAAAATTGATTGGACTTCTATAGAGCCAAACTTCAGAAACTTATTAACTGAAACTAGGGATAGGCCGATTCCGATTCTCGATACCAATGGTATCGAACAATCGCCGATACTCGATACTTCGCATCATTGTACTCGATACCGATTCTAATATGTTAGGTTAATTATGATGCTAAACTCAACTGGCATTGAAGGTTGTAAAGAGTGGCATATCATAGTTTATTTGGAATACTCTTAAATCAGCAAATATAAATAACTCCAAGTTCATTATCTCACATTCGTAATAGTTTTAGAGTGCCGTTGCATTTCAAAATGAATGACGTATTGTGTTCAACTGACTGACAGCAGTGACAATGACAACTAGTAGAACAGAACAACAGAACTCTAGTTGCCGCCATGTTGTCAGATCGAGGGCAATGTTGCCAGATGGTACAATCATTGAATATATAAATATACAGTAATACGCATAAGGTTTATATGTATAGGCAATGGTACTAGTATAACTTGCGTTTTTTAACTCGTGATAGGGTTTATGTACATTTCATTAGCAGCTTAAGAGCTTGATAACTTGCTGATCATAGTGTATAAACATTGACTATAAACACACTTTGTGAGAATATAATCAATGGTTGATTATTAACCCTCTAAGTATCGCCCACCCCATATTGGGTAGGTTTTCTGATGCGTATGAGTGTCGCCCACCCAAAATTGGGAGTTTGTAGGCGCCAAGGTTTGTTCGTTATTTTTATATATGCGTGATCAATGCCCCAGCTTACTTGTAATGTACTAACTGTTCAGGTAATTCAGGGCTTCATGGTGACTATTGGAGACGGCGGTTTAGCGATGTATTTTTATCATTATTATGATGTTTCTCTCTGACTGAACTGAAACAGCTGTTGCGAGTTTGCTAGTGGAAAATTTATTGTTTAACCTATGTTTTGGATTTATTGTTTTGTTCGTTGTCTGTTTGCTGTGCGTGCCTAGTGAGTTGTTGAAAATGGATTATGATCTCCGTTCTAGTGATGTGATGAACTCCATGTTTTTTATCTGATTCTTTAAGTAATTTTAGTGATATTGATGATGACAATATTGAAGATGACTTTGGTATTGACTTTGGATCTATAACTCTATAACTATATATGGAACATTCATTGCAGGCCCAGATGTACGAATTCTTATGCAAACAAAAACTCTGTGAACATTTTAGGCCTACATAAACCGGTGATTATTTACTCAATGTAACTTAATTTAATAAAATATGTAAAAATGCAAGTCTTGTTGAAGTAGCCTATCTTATTTTCCTTATAGGCTAACTTAATTTTATGTAACCTTAATCAATAGCAATGCAGTTATCTTATGGTCTAAAGATTAAATAAAAATAACATGCTCCATGCTCCTTTATTTATAGGGATGGCGAGATGCACACATAAGTTATATGTGTTATTAAATGAATTTTTAACAGGTAACGGTATCGAGTGCGGAATCGAGAATCGAAACCAAAGTTGTAGAATCTGAATAGGTACCGGAATTGACCAATTCAGGAATCGGCCCATCACCAACTTAAACCCATTTCATGTTAACAACATCGAAGCTGTCCTTTATCAAGGGGAGCTTAGTGGAGTGTCAAGCTTGCATCCCTCAGGAAGAGAGTGGGGGCCCATATTAGTTGTGCTAAGAAAAAAAATTACTGGGGTCATTCAATAGCCAATTCACAAAGTACAACCATGCAGTACGATGGGCTATAAGCCTCTCTTTTGGAATAACTTTTTCAGTAACGAGGAAGTCATTAAGGAAACATCCGGAGTACACAAGGTTCTCTCTAGGAGAGGTCTGTCACCCTCAGTGCCGTTGAGGAATCGGGTGGAGTTGTGGCATTCAACCCCAACAAAATACTCAAGGCCGTGGGAATTGCCCTGAAATTCAGTTGTCTCCAGGGGAGTAGACTGAGGAGTACTAGTCTCCGACAAACACGTGACAACTGTCTCACCAACTAGCTCTCTAAGGTAAGAACAACTACTCTTGGCTATCTGGTAAGAGAGAGTCACATACAGAAAGTATTAGTTACTTGGCTAGGCATTTATAACGTGCTTTGATATTTAAGTTCTCTTTATAAAACAACTGATTTGAGTTACAAATTAATTTGACAGATCTGGATGAAGCGCTTTGTGGTTATGGTCTGATTTTTTAAGACAAGATAAGTTTGAATCATAAAATCCTTTATGATGTTTGTATTAGAAAAATATTATATTTTCTAAATATTGAAAAAAATATTCATCTTGATATCCATTATTTGATTTAGTTGGCTATACAAAACTAAGGTAGAATGTTGTGGTTTACTGTATAGTAGTTTGTTACCTTCATGATGTCAACGGCCAGTCCACTGTTCATGTTGTTCATAGCTCTGACCCGGGGAGAGACTGCTGTCTGTTTACCTCTACTGATACCAGCTATCAGAGCAGGTCTGACATAGTCTACCTCACTAGGACCTCCCACCACACTCACAGCTCCCACTCTTACCTCACTCTCTGAAACAACAACACATACTGATACCAGCTATCAGAGCAGGTCTGACAAAGTACTGGATATTAGTACTGTTTATTTACAAGTAATTAAAGAAGAACTAGAACAGCTGAGAGACAAGGCCAAGGATGTCAAAGGCTTATCTACAATAACCAGTACGTCCACCGACCCCCCTGCCCTCCCACCCTCCACAGGAACAGCTGATCCGGCAGTCGTGGTTAGGCATTCAGCTTGTGTACGCGAGAAACATAAAGTTTTAATTCCATGAGGAAGCGGGACGTTGTTTTGGTCCCGCGAAACGTCGAAGAAAATCCAAGGACGATTTTTTATGTGCGTGTATGTGTGTGTTGTGTGTCTTTGTGTATAACATTTTGACGAGTCCTGGATTAACAAATAAGGTGAGTGAAGCCCACAAGCTGATCAATACAGTATAATAAACCTCGCCAAAAAAAATGTATTTCAAAAATAATAAATAACTTTGTTAAGTATTTATCAGTTTTCTTTATTTCATTCATATTTAAATTATTCCAAATAAGTCAATCAAAATTCATTAACCAATGTTTAGGTTTACAATTTATTATTATTAGTTGAAATTACAATTCATTTAAATATTACTAATTATCATATGTTATTATATTATATCACATTGAATCTAAAAGAATATTTCATTATTAAAATTGGCAACACTGTAAATGCAAGCAGTTTAACTACTCAAAATTAAATGTACAACAATTAGATCTTTAAAAAACATGTGACTGTGATTAAGATCAACAAATGTGATGTGGAAGCAAATAGGGACCTCTTGTCGGGAATTTTCAATTTTGAGTTTTATATACCTATATTTGAATTCCTTATTAGGCTAAGTTCCGAATCGATTGTTGCAAGTCCCTTGCATGTGTGATTTTTTTTGTTAAAGTTAAAGGATTTTGAAGTTTTGTTATGGAAAAGGGTTATTTTGAGAAAAACTGTTTTGAAAATTTCAAATACGCATTAAAACGGTGTTTTTCGTATTTAAGAAATGATTTTGGTAACAAAAGAAAGCTTATAATGTCCTCTTTGGAAGCAATACAAATTTTTTTCTTAACTCACGGTAGTTTTCATTTAAATAACTTTTTTATTGAAGCATGTCTTGACGTACGATGATTAATATCTATAAAGAAAACCCTCAATAGATATTTCTATATAAGTTTGCCCAAAGACTGTTTTATGATTAATAAATAAACAATCATATGTTTTTCAATGCCTTACCTGGTTACAACTTAAGGTCTAGAAAGAGGAAGATTTAAAATATATATTGAGGGTTTTGTGGGGGATGATTGACGTACGATGATTAATATCTATAAAGAAAACCCTCAATAGATATTTCTATATAAGTTTGCCCAAAGACTGTTTTATGATTAATAAATAAACAATCATATGTTTTTCAATTGTTTTGTTAAAAAACAGTAAATAGTTTAGTGTGTTGTTTTGTTGAATAAAATAAAAAGGTACCTAGTTTTTGTTAAAATTTATTTTGTCATTTCTAATGTTTAATATTAATCGTCCGTGATATCAAAGGAATTGAATCACGTACAGTGACGACATAAGTCTTAAAAATTGCACTTCAGAAAAGGGACCTCTTGTCGGCCCTATGTTATTTCTTTATAAGATAAGAAAAGGTACCTCTTGTCGGGACCACACAATTTGTGAGATATTTTGTTCTCCGTGAACTGAACTTTGATGTAGTTCTCTCAATTTCTACTAGAATGCAGTAAAATTTATTTTTTGGACTAAAATCTGTTTAAAAGGTGAATATTAGAAATGGGACCTCTTGTCGTTATGGCAAAATAACATTGAGCAACAAGAGGTACCTTTTCTCAGACTGTGCAGGGGCTAACAAAATGATTTATTTCAACCTTTTGCATCATCAATTCAATATTTTAAACGATACTGTCATGTTCTATGTTAAATGAGGTTAAACAATCGATACAACCCCGAAATTCGATATTTTCGACCTTTATTACTTATATTGGCCGTACTGAAAATTTTGCATCCCCAACAAGAGGTCCCTTTTCCCTTTCCACATCACAAATGAAGAATGGAATGACCTGAATGAAAATGCATGAAAATAGTGTTGGTATGAAAAAGTAAATTCAAGAAAATTATGATCAAAGTTTTATTCAACTTCAAGAAGATAAAGTTTATTTAAGAAGATTTATTTTACCAAGAACAGTAAGTTATTCTTTCAATGTAAATAAAACAAAATTCTCCTATACAAAATACAGTCCACTTACTCAAAAATTTAAACTATTTTACCAATCTATTTGATCCATTATCATTCTATAAACAATTATCAAAATTTCATGACAAACTTCTTGATCAGCATTGTACGTGTTATTTCATTTACGGAAAGTAAATAGAAGAAACGTCATATTATAACACTTAAAACATATATTTACGCTTATACTGTTATTCACAAGACGGTAAATATACAAAAAAGATGGTAAGTGGTGATTGATTTCGATTAGACACTCCAATCATCATCAGACCCAATAGGCGAATGAATATGTCATTCGCCTCTTGGGTCTGATGATGATTGGAGTGTCCAATAAATATTGGAGTATAAGCGTAAATATATGTTTTAAGTGTTATAAGACGTTTCTTTTATTTACTTTCCGTATCGTTACAATAGCACATAGCTTGAGTATGGTGATCCAATCATCACAAACTTTTTCATTTTTGCACAAATTTTAATTACACTTAACTTTTGTAGTGGGCTGGCAGATTTATCAGCTGACAGATGTTTTTGGTTACTAAGAAGAGAAAAATAAATAAGAGGATTCTTTTAGGCTTTTCCAACAAAAGTGGTTCATTTTAATTTATGTTAAACTAGCAGAGGACCCGTCCTTCGTACAGGGTAGGCATATAAGTATAAAATGCTTATTGCAGTTACTAAAGCTTTGTGTTTGCAATGAGGGAGAACACAGTTTGATAAAATTTGCTTCTTTAAAATTACAGTATACTATAATAGTATTACACATCTACCATAGCCATAATGTTCTCGTTCTGCCACTTCACCTAAACATAAGCATAAGAGAAAAAAATTATCAAAAATTTGCAAATATGACAGATTATTCATGAAACTAAAAACATAAACATAACTGTAAACAATCCTACTTTGACAGATCTCATTGCGTATCATAGTTTTTTTGTCTCTGTTTAGTTCAAATTAGCTGTTTCCATAAATGCAAAAAAATAATAGTGCTGCACCCTGTTGGTAATTCTTACAACTTTTTAATGCTTTTCATATAATAGAACAAAATTTTTAGTTGAAACAGCTGACTAAATTCTTTAATTCCCTTTAAATATGAATATTCATAAGGTTAACATGGGGAACTACATAGCCACTGGGGCGGAGTCCAAAAGGATTTTTGAGATAAGAATATGCCTATATGTTAATTGGGAATGTGAGCTATCATCATGCCAAATTTCAGCCCAATTCATCCATTAGTTAATGTGTGATTGAACTTCAAACAAACAAACAAACACACAAACTTTCACATTTATAATATTAGTAAGATTAAAACAATGATTTTTAGTGAAAATCTCTAGACTTTATTTCAGGTATTCCTCCTATTTAAAACTGGTTCTTTATACTAAAATTGGTGACCCCAATTTGAATTCAAAAGATTATTCAATTGTTCAATCACTATTGTTATTCAATGAAGTAAATCAAGAACACATAATGGAAATCAATGAAGGCATATTGGACCAACTAAAACTGATGGAAGAGCAAAACCAAGATCTCAGAAAACAACTTAATGATGTAATTGGAGTTGACTCTGAACATTCAAGACAAAATCATGATTCAGAAGAAGATTTTAGCGAATTTCCCATATATTGAATATTACCGAATTTCCCATATATTGAATATTAAATAAGCTATTACCGTAGTACTCATGGTAAGACCTGGACGCAGGACCGATTTTTTTTTTCGTTTTGAGGTCCCTAGAGGCCAAAAACACCATCCGTTCAAATATATATACCGGGTGTCCAAAACCACCCGTACACCCCTTTCAAAACGATGGAAACCTTTTCTTACAAACAAAAAATAATACAGAACTAGCTAAATTGGGCACGGTCTACCAAATAATGATAATTTCAAATCCAAAATCACACCGGAAGTGGGTTTTTCAGACCGGAAGTTGACTTTTTTAAATGTAAACTACCAATTTTGATTACAGAATCGGATTCTACGTTGAAAAACACATAACTTTTGTCTAAAACATTTTTTGAAAAAAAAAATTTTCTACCTCTAATCCCCCATTAAAGTCAATAATTTTTTGTCATTCATGTGTCAAAGTTACTTGAAACAATAATAGAGAAAAACAAATAACAAAGATTACATAAAGACACATGATGAATAGAATCAGCTGTTTATTTTAAACACCTTAGCAATTGAGTGACAGCTGGTCTACACATTGCTAAGTTTAATTTTTTTATAATTTATTTTTACATTTGACCCCTTAAATGTAAAAACAAATGATTTATTTTTAAAATAAAATGAAATTAAGCAATGTGTAGACCAGCTGTTAATCAATTGCTAAGGTGTTTACAATGAACAGCTGATTCTATTCATCATATGTCTTTATGTAATCTTTGTTATTTGTTTTTCTCTATTATTGTTTCGAGTAACTTTGACACATGAATGACCAAAAATTATTGACTTTAATGGGGGATTAGAGGTAGAAAACAATTTTTTTTCAAAAAATGTTTTAGACAAAAGTTATGTGTTTTTCAACGTAGAATCCGATTCTGTAATCAAAACTGGTAGTTTACATTTAAAAAAATCAACTTCCGGTCTGAAAAAGCCACTTCCGGTGTGATTTTGGATTTGAAATTATCACCATTTGGTAGACCGTGCCCAATTTAGCTAGTTCTGTATTATTTTTTGTTTGTAAGAAAATGTTTCCATCGTTTTGAAAGGGGTGTACGGGTGGTTTTGGACACCCGGTATGTTTATATGTTTATATATTTATATATCTAATATATAAAATTCTCGTGTCACAGTGTTTGTCTGCAAACTCCTCCGGAACGACTTCACCGATCGTAATGAAATTTGGTGTGTAAATTCTGTAGGTATGCGAATCGGACGTAAACTATTTCCCGTTTCGAAATTCTTAAAAGGGCTCCGCCCCAGTGGCTCTGGAGTTTCCCATGTTAACCTTATGAGAAATGGAATTAATGAATCTTAACAGCTGTTTCAATTAAACAAGTTGGTTCTGTTCTATGATGTTCAATAGCATTAAAGTTACAAGGATTACCAACAGGGTGCAGCACTATCATTTCTTTTACATTTATGACAACAGCTAATTTGCAACCAAAAGGTGAGTGAGCGTAGCGAACGAACTTCAACCTGGAGGCAAGTGAGCGTAGCGAACGAGCTAACCTGGAGGCGAGTTAGCGTAACGAACGAGCTCCAACCTAAAGGCAAGTGAGCGCAGCGAACGAGCTCCAACCCAAAGGTGAGTGAGCGTAGCGAACGAACTTCAACCAGGACGTGATTGAGCGATGCGAACGAGATCATCTTGAAAATTAAACGTAACGGTACTTTCTCTCCATCGGTCTGTCTTAGGGGAAACCTATAACTTAGGCGATACGAAGTTCGCCGGGTCAGCTAGTATATATATATATATGTGTCCGTTAGCACGATAACTCGAGCAAAAATGATCCGATTTTGATGAAATTTGGTACAAACGTGTAAACCTACGTTTATTCGTACGAGTTCGCGATCCAGAATGATCGGACCATGGGAACGGGGGTTTATGGGGGGGGTTATGGGGTAAAAATAGGTTTTTCCCATTTTTTACCCCAAAAAAAAATCAAATTTAGCAATTTCTTTCCAAACCATTTTGTAGAGTTTAAAAAAAAAAAATAATTTAGTATATTGAAGCGTTATTATGCGCCTAATGGTTACAGTGAAAATTCCAAAAAATTGTAAATTTAAAATTCCCATGTTATTCTTATGGAGAATAAGTCAACTGTTGTAGTTTGCTTGTTTATGAACATATTTTGATCAAATTTGGAAAATGTTTTTATTTCTTACTAACTATTAACATTTTACAAAAAAACAGTTTTACCCTCCCTGATGCAGCAAACCTAAGTACTTGTTAAACTAATTCTATTTAAATAGGGAATGAATTTTATATTTTTAAGTAGGTAGACATTTCAGTGTAAATCCAATCGATTGACGTCCGCACGGGTGAGTACTACGACTATCCGCAGTGCTATCCTGATAATTAGACCAATTCGTAATTACCAAGGCAAAAATGTGGTTCGGATTCCACTATAAACTGTAGGTCCCTTAGTTGCCATTGGCTATATGGGCTATTAATTAACAGCTGTGTCTAAGGAATGTCGGCCTTAGTCACTAACAAGACTACAAGATCGCGCCACTCATCCTACACTCATCTCCATTCATGCTTGGCTCAAAATACCTACTTTGTATGGTCGCCATTCCATAGAACAGTAACAGAACAGTAATGGAAATTCGCTTAGTCTGCAGGTTTGCTGCGGCGGGGGTATTTTGGTTAATCCAATGAATCAGAAAACTCAAGAACATCAGATTTATCAGCTGACAGATGTTTTTGGTTGCTAAGAAGAGAAAAATAAAGAAGATGATTCTTTTAGGCTTTTCCAACAAAAGTGGTTAATTTTTATTTATGTTAAATTAAAACAATCATAATTAGTGAAAATCTCTAGACTTTATTTCAGGTATTTCTCCTATTTAAAAGTGGGTCTTTCCACTAAACTTTTATTGCTACTGTTTATTATAAAGATATGTATATAACAGCCAATAACATACTCAACTTGGTACATTTCATACACTTCACATGTACAATGTCCATAAGTAAGGAAAATACCCAGTTATTAGGGATCTACTATTAAACTTCTTTCATATTTAAGTGCTTAAAATATTAACAATTTTTCCACTCACCCATTGATGGATCAGAGAGAGGTATTTCAACAACTTCCTGATCAGCCCAAGCTTCTTTCTTCCTCATAATATCAGAATAAATGCTGGGTTTCCCCATCACAGCTATTTTCACTTCAATCTAAACAAACAAACAAAAATATTTGTATTACAAACCTACAATCCTACAATAAAAGCTTAATTCTCTTGTTTGAGTAATATACAAGAAACAAGATATAAAAAAAGTTAAAATATAAATTTGTTATTAAAGTACAGGTATTTGAGTGGCTTTCTTTTTGAGTTGAGAAAAGCCTTTTTAAAGTTCAAGGTACAGTATTGGGTACCAAGTAAGAAAATCAAACATAATGTAATGGCAAATGCAGTGTAAATTACAATTCTTTATGATCGTAGAGATAATTACAATGGGGCCATTTTTACCAACTAAATAGATATTTTCATAAACCTTCCAAATTTTTGGGACATTTAAAGATCTGTTTCCTTATTGAGGTCAAAGTATTTCTCCAGCTTATCAAACTCTTATTTTATACATATCTATTTTGATTCCTTGCAAATTTGAATACTCACTTATTTAAAATTTCATGAGCTTTTGATATTATTTTAATTGTTTAATTCAAATAAACGTACCAATAGTAATGAATTTCTGTTTATTGGTATGTGTATCCTTAGTCTGTCATCGTACTTATTACCAGCAAATCGTGGTGATCAGCAAATGTTACCATATTAAAAAATAAAGGAATTATCCTATTTAAAACTCAGTATTTTGTTTTATAATGTACCTTTAAATTATATTCAACAATACATTGTAAATTAAATCTATACTTTTTTTTTAATAAACAAATCAACTTATTATATGCTGGGTGTCCACCAGGTCAACCAGAAAAAATTCACGAGTAATTCCAGGTAGTTCAGGTCGTACTTTTCATACCAAACTTTCCAACGTGTTTTTGCGCCAACTCCCGCAATGCTGTTTTAGCCCTAACACAGTTCGCTATTTTAGTTATCGGAAAAAGCATTCTCAAGTAAAGAAACAAAATGTATGATTGATTACTGTAATATTGCCTAACACAGGTATGCATTTTTTATATATTACTCTGATTAAATAATCAGAAAATCATCAATTTATCTAATCTCAATCTCTGTACCGACACCTGAAAAATAGATGTTTAATCCTGATGGTTTTAATTTTACCAAATTTTATTTATGTACTTTCATAAAGTATGTAATTTTGGAGCTATGGGTTGTTTTTCAAGTGGCCTACAGGTAATATAACATACACATAATGGCACATAAAAAACTTAAAAACACTGATATACAATATATCAATGACAGTTTAGGCCAAATTAACTGTTGGTGATATTATTTATTTTAACCGCTGGAGGTTAGTTGCAGCGCATGTTGAAAGCGGTCACGTATCACTAAAACTGCCATATCTCAGTTAATACCCGTTCAATCTTAAAAAATAAGGTGTCAATCGATTTGTAATGAAATTGCCTTAAAAAAGTTATTCTTGTAAAATGTTTGTAAATTTGGGTTTCGAGTTATTTAAGAAACAAAATTTTAAATAACCGCCATTTTGTTTTATGAATTTGAAAATCTTCATAATTTTTTGGTAGCTTTGTCTAGTCGTCATAAATGTTTGTGCAAAGTTTACATTTCGTATGTTTAACCATTCTTTAGAAACAAATTAATAACTGAAAAAAATTAAATGGTGGCTGTGTGAATAACTAAGGACTTCCAGACAATTTAAATATGATATTTAGGTATGTTTCTTACCCAGGAGCAATGCCCTAAAATATTGATAGAGAGTTCCGGGACACCCTGTAGATACATACATAGTTCCTCTTTTATAGATATAGATGGTCAATGCTTTCTCGATTTTTTCATGGTAATATGTACGCAAACCCAAATTCAAATAGTAAATTTCAACCAAATCAGTAAATGTTTAGTAGGGAGTCAAAATCCGAACCAATTGGGACCGTAGGTAGTTCAGATTACAGATTTGCTCGGATTTTCAAACATAGCCTAGAAATGCCTAATATAGACACATAATTAGGCCTACGGTATTACAAATACAGTGAATTAAATGATAACTTTCATTTTTGTACCTTGGTATTTTCGTTACATTACTGTAATTTGTTTCTTGAAAAAATATGTACATTGGAAACGAACAAAACACACGACTGGCTCGGCCTGTTCACTCATTTCCCTTCAGAGCGCCGACTGTTTGGCCCACGAAATTGTAAAACATCTGTAGTCTCTGTGCTAATTCAATATTTTAAAACTCTAAGGGGCGGTTCGGATTTTTGACTTTCGGATTTTTGACTCTCTACTGTACATGCGTTTCCTTGAATTACAAAATAAATACTAACAGCAATTAAATTATCCACCTGATCATAATGTTACAATAATATGTACTTATTGTTACATCGTTACAAAGTAAATTCTCGGGTAACAGAAGAGACCAGCACAGGTATTGACAATGTAATAACTAATATAAACTGTGATAGAGTAGAAGTTGAGGAGATTGTGACTGCTCTCTCTGACCATGACGGGCAAATACTAAATATACTAGGCGTACGCTCATTCTTCCCGTATTGAGACGAAACGAAGATAGTGAACAAGTGGAATAAGGCTGCGGTAAGGCGACCAGAATCCTACCATTTGGTAGTACCATTTGGGTAGTACTCTAGTTGTTGGTGAACAGAGGAATTACTGGATATAGCAGGCATGTTTCCACACAGATGCTCAAACAGTGTCTTTCAGAGCATGAGATCATTTTGAGAATTCCAGAGGTCTTGGCGCAGATGCGGTGAATGTCTGGCTCAAACTCTTATGAAGAGTCCAATATCCAGAGAATTTTGCTAAATGCTAAATGTTTTCAACTTATTTTTGTTGGGATTCACCATATTCTTTGTTGAAGTCTTAGCTGAGACATTATTAAGAGCCTTCAGCAAGGACTCGAAAGTCATAGAGGGAAGCAACTTTCCAAAAAAGTTTTATATTGTCAGCAAACTTAAGAGAAGGGATCTTGATAACTCTTTTGATGTCATTAAAGAAAATGTAGAACCGAAAATATTTGAAATTTTGTTGGATGTTTTCTTGATAAATAGGCAAAAAACTCCATATTCACCCCATAAAACCACATGAAAGCCAGTTCACATGATCTAATCAAGACAGGTAGTAAAACCGTAAAACTCAAAATGTTAAAGGAATGTTTATTGTATTACACCAAATTAATAGAATTATCAAGATCCCTTGTCAACTCCTCCTTATACATAGTCGCATAAAGACTTTTGTAAATGGTACATTTACATATGAATGTGTATTGGATTGGCAATTTTCTCTATAACCCTAAATCAAACAATAAATTAGGCCTATGTAAAATAGTATTTTTTTTCTACAATCTAATAAAATGTTTATGTTAGTATGTGTAGTTAGGAGGTTTTCAGAGTTAGTTAACAAATACAAAAACACTCAGATTTGCACCAAAGCTCTCTATGAAAGCCTGGTATCATGATCTGGCCAGGATGCTTTCACTTTTCTTTTCATGCTGAATTAAAATTATTAAAATTAATTAAAATTAAATTATCAAAGTGGACCTTTTCACAAAAAAATCTGGAAATATTCAAAAACTATTTGGGAATGGAAGACTGATATGATGTCTATTATGCAAATGTTGAGGATAAGTTCAAAGCTTTCTTCAAAACTTTTATGTACTATTTCAATCTTATATTTCCTAAGACAAAAACTAGGATAAAAACTTACAATAATAACAATTGGATCACAGATTCTCTAAAAGAAGAAAGAAAAGAAGTAATAAATTTATTTAAAATAGCAAGGCAAACAAAAAACAAACATTTAAGTAATAAAACTAAACAAGAAAATAAAAAATTTAAATCAAGGTTAACTGAAACAAAAAAGATTTTTTTGAAGAACAAAATTTCAAAATCAACCTGTATTGGAAAAACAACTTGGGGAATGATTAAATCAGAGACAGGGAAGGACAAGGGAAAAATTAATGAGAATATAAAACTGGTTGTAAATAATAATAAGCTAGGAAACCCATATGAAATAGCTACTGAATTTAATAAATATTTTATAGAATCTATGAATGATGTTAGCAGTAGTAACAGTTCAAATATTTGTAGTACTAATACATGTAAACAGAGTGATCAGTTGGATAAAGACAGCATCATTTCTAGACTGGTAGGCCCAAACAGTTGAGATTAAACCAATAGATAATAAAGAATGTATGGCAATAATTGATGGCTTAAAAAATAAGTTTTCATGTGGGTACAATGAAGTACCAATAAAAGTGATCAAGTTTATTGGCCCAGCAATATGCAAGGTGATGGTTCATCTGATCAATTCATCCTTTGTCTCTGGAATTTTTCCACACAAACTAAAAATAGCCATAGTAATACAAGCTCTAAAAAAAGGTGATCCTAAACAAATTTCAAATTATAGGCCCTTATCGTTGCTCCCAACTTTCTCAAAAATCTATGAAAGAGCCATGCACAAAAGGCTATTGGAATATTTAGAGACGGAGGGTTTGTTAGTTGAATCTCAGCATGGTTTCCGCAAAGGGAGATCAACTGGGACTGCAACAGCAGAATTTGTGGAAACCATTCTAAATTCAATAGATAAAGGTGAAACATGTATTGGCATCTTTATGGACCTTAAAAAAGCATTCGATAGTGTTTGCCACAGTAAGTTGTTGGAAATTCTAAAGAATGTGGGAATTACCAACATTTCTTATAATTGGTTTCAGTCATGTATAGAAAACAGAGCTCAATATGTAGAAGTAACACACTCTCACAAAAACAGACAACAAAAATAACATCAAAACTTGAAAAAATAAAAACAGGTGTACCTCAAGGGTCAATTTTGGGCCCCTTATTGTTCATAATCTACATCAACGGTTTGAACCAAACACTAGTAAATCAAAGGGAGAGCAAAATAATTCTTTATGCAGATGATTCAAACTTAAAGATATCAGGAAAAAAATTGGAGGATATAGAATCTGTGGCAAACTCAGAACTCATTAATATCCAAAGGTTTTTAATTGAGCATAATTTATTTTTGAATATTTCTAAAACTAATTATATTAACTTTTCCACCAAAAACAAAACAATTGCTTTCCCCAACATAAAAATTGATAATACATCTTTAGAACCTGTTCGACAAACAACCTTTTTAGGCCTAAATATAGACAGCAGTCTCAGTAGGAACTCCCATGTTGAAAAAGTACTGGCAAAAATGAATTCGGGTGTGTCTGCTCTCAGGACATTAACAAATATTTGTTGACCTGACAACTCTCAAAATGGTCTATTACGGTATGATTCATTCTCATTTAGCCTACAATATACATGTTTATGGAGCAACCAATATTAATAATCTGAATGAGATATTAAAACTACAAAAGAAATCAATCAGAATAATGCTAAATATGGAACAAACTGACCATGTTAAAGAAAATTTTAAAGAATTAAGAATTATGACAGTATTTAGTCTATATGTATAAGAAACTATTGTTTACTCAAAACAAAATCAAGAGCAATTTGAGACTGGTTAGTTGATCCACCATTATAATACAAGAAACAATAAAAAAATAAGGTTGCAAAGTCACCGATTGAAAATGTTTGAGAAAAAGCCAAATTATATAGGATCTAAATTTTTAAACAAAATTTCTACCATAATAGACACAAATCAAGAGTTTTCAAAATGTAAGAGAAAATTAAAAGAACACCTAGTTGAGAGAGCATTATACTCACTAGATGAGTTTTAAAATAACTAACGGCCTTAAATTTAATATTTGCAAACAGAAATTATGGTGTTTTTAACATTATTGTACTTATTGACAGAAATTGTATTATAAAGATTAGTTTTAAGAAATGACGCATGTTCAATGTACTTACGCTACAAAACAATGAATAAAGAATGTTTTGATTTTGACTTTGACTTCATACGGATAACATGGGAACTTTAAAAGCCACTGAGGCAGAGCCCAAGGGACTTTTTCAAAAATTTAAGGCCAGTTTACAAATCTACGCAATACACCCTTTCCAATAAAACGTGAATGGTCAAAATCGGTTAAGAAATGGCAGTGGAGTTCAAAGAACAAATTGCATGTTGGCGTATTATTAATTATATAGAAGATAGATATATATAGTAAGATATAAGTGTTGGTTCCAATTCACCTTAGTATAAATCAGCTGATCGAATAACTTAAATCAACATTTTAAGTTAAAATAATTTGATTTTTCAAGAAATTCTTCAAAAGTGAGTAAATTGTAAATTTTTCCGGTGTAGCGGTAGATGAAAGCTTTAAAACGACACATCATTCATGAAAATTTGTGAAGAATTAAGGAAGTTGAGCGTATCAACAAAAAAAAAGCACTTAAGAAATTAGATAGATTTTAGCGTTAATTATTTAACTCTAGTGATTGGTAAGAAAAGGTCCATCCTCACACAAGGAACACAAAAACTTTACACTATACCTTGGCTGAAAATGCTGTCAGAAACGATGGAATGTTCTACTATTTGTGTTAGTGTATAGGCCTAAAGGACCTTTTTGTGCTTTTTAATGGACTCTTTCCCTTTCTGGATAACCTGCTATCACAACAAACATATACTATCAATTTGGTTTCAAGCATAAATTAAATGTATAATGCACCACCGAGTGCTAACCGAGGCTGATTAATTTTACAAACACTCTTAACAAAATATTAAACAAGAAACAATCTATTTTGAAATCCCCTGGTAAGGATAAAAAATGGATCCTTTGGTGAAGAAGTTGCTGTTGTTCTAATGGGTATTTTTAGAATTGTTTTTCCAAAAAATTTACAAGTTAACATCTAAACGGGCATTCTACCTTGGTGATACTAACTTTGAGCTGGCGTGAGCAGTTCCATATGATGACACTGCCGTTGGGAGATGCAGTGGGTATCAGTTCCTGGACTGATGATGTACCAAGTATCTCCATTGGCTGGTCAGTATGTACAGCCGGGGCAGTGGCGTACGAGACTGATAATGGCACGTTCTGTGTGTATTCTCCCTTCACAAACGGACACGACGGGGAGTGCCTCTCATGCTCTGACCTGTGACACAGTATTGACAGTTGGCAGTTGACAGTTGGTAGTACAGTAGAACCTCTTTAAACCGAATTCCCGTAAACCGAGCGTGCACTAATCTGAACGCCTCATTAATAGTATACACAGAACAGTAGTTCTTTATTGTATACTGTATTTATCAGTGTTGGGAAGTAGCGCGCTACAAGTAGCGACGCTACAGTAGCGCGCTACTTTTTTTGTAGCGTTAGCTGTAGCTACGCTACTATTAAGATTTTGTAGCTTTAGCTGTAGCTAGCTACATTTTTAAAGTAGTTGTAGCGGAATTTTAGCTACCCTACTTTTCTCGCTACATTAACATTAATTGAGATAATGATTTTTATCATAACCTCAACCTTACGTAAACCCTCTTTCAAACTGAGATTTTCAAAAAAATTAGGCCTACTTTCTTGGCCTCATACAGCTGGTTGCAGCGGTTTCATTCCCTATTACAACGTTGTGTGGACATGGAGGCCATTAAATGAGTGTTATCCACATTTTTTTAATTTACTACTCTATGATTACTGTCACATAAAATAAAATCGCTAGTTGCAGACGACGTTTAAACGTTACCGGTGACAAGAGAAGCTATTGAATGCTTGCAAGTGATTGACAGGGAAATTAGTAATCAATTTAGTTTCTTTATTATTTTAATAGTGTTTCAACTTGGGTTTTAATTTAATGGAAACCAACACTAAACCTTAAAATAATGAGAAAGCTGGTCTAGCTTCAGCTGTTGATTGTGGTTCATCATCACAAGCCCTTCCTTGGTTAGATTACGAAGATTTTTCAAAGGTTTACTAAATTAACAAAGAGGAAATTACCTGATGAGATTTAAGATATGCCTAGACTACATGATAATTGTAACGAAAAAATCTCCATATAACATGAAACTTAGATTGAAAAATAGCATAGTTTACTCCTGCTAACAGCTCTTGTATAGGACTATTCCTAGGCTATGCTATGGTTTAAGACGAATACCAAGTTCCAAGTTCAATTATTAGGAATATATCTGTTTAGCCCTTGCAAGAACAAGCCTACTATAGCCAACTTGTTACATAGCCTAGTAGGCCTACATGTTATTTTTACTTTACAAATTTCAACATGTTTAAATCAAAAGCCGATTTCAGGATAAGTTGCTGAATACTGTTTTCTGTACCAACTAGGTTGAAGCACAATTTGCCCTATGCATAATGACAAGGACGATTTCTTGACATTGAAAAGTGTTATTCATAAGAACAAGTAACTTATCACTATGGTTAAAAGTTATAGCAATTACGTTTTTAACATTAAAAGTTAAGAAAGGCAATAAACAAAAATTTCAGTAGGCTATGCTCTGTAACACAAAAAAGTATTTTTAAATAATCGTTTTACAGTTGTATTTGTCTTAATTGTTGATATAAGACATCTATAAATGGATCTATATTAAAGTAATAAAATGAGCTTTTAAAATATAGTTTTGTTGTATGTCCTTTGAACTTAATGAAATTTACATAGGCTATAAGATGCTTAAAAATAATGCAATATTTAAAAATAAGTACTAAATATGATAAGAAACACCCAACTATTTGGTTCTGTTGTTGTAGTTTTAGGTTTATAATACCAACATATTAAATACAATCTAGGAATAATTTGTTTTCCAAGTAATGTTAGATACAATACTGATATTTTCTGTTTAAATGTTTGTTCAATAAAAATATAGTTGCAATTGATTTTACATTTACCTAATGTGCGTGGAATAAAAAGTAACGTCTTTGGAAAAGTAGCTAAAATTATAGCTGTAGCTACATTTCATTGTAGCTGTAGTTGTAGCTAGCTACTTTTTCGGAACTGTAGCTGTAGCAGTAGCTAAGCTACTTTTTTGGAAATGTAGCAGTAGTTGTAGCTAGCTACATTTTAAAAGTAGCTTCCCCAACACTGGTATTTATTGATACACGCAACGTAATTGTTTCTACTGTAACGTACAGTACTATTTATTTACAATGTTTACAACTGAATTAAATCCCCGTGACAATTACGATCCATTTTAGCTACATTTAGCTAATGTTATGTAAAAACAACAATATGTTCTGTAATCCGAACTATTCAATAGTCTGAACTACCCCCCGTCCCAATTAGTTTGGATTAAAGAGGTTCTACTCTACTTCGAACAGTTTGCCTGATGATCAGCTATAGGCTAGCTCAAATGCCCAGTTAAAAAAAAATAACTTAAAGGTACACTTGCTTCAAGCTCCGATTGGCCGAGCTCACGGGTTATCCCAAAGGTCGTTTTAGGCCAAAATATATTCTTTTATTTTAGGTTGGAAAAACATAATTTTACATTATTAATGTATGTTTCTGTTTAAAGTAAAGTAAAAATAGCAATACCGGTACATTTTTAATTTGTAAAAATTAATACTTAAAATAATCGTTGCAAGAATTATTAAACGTACAAATGATCAGCAATAACCTAGAAAATCAAAATAATGCAGTACAAGGTTGGCCACCAACCGTGCTGAACGAGCCATCCGCTGAACGTAAACGATAGCAGTGACATTTCTGCTCGAGCATAACCTATTCGTATCGCCTTTAGTCAGTCTTTATCATCACAATTAATTTTTTTATGTTGACATTATTGTGACAAGTGTAGCTCAGGTCAAACTCTAACAAAAAGTAATTTTATACCTTCTAAACCAGAAAGATCCACCTTATTGTGTTTATTTTTTTATACTGCTGTGTTTTGGTTTGGCATAATTTTAAATTACTGTGCTTAAAGTTTTTCAGGACAATTTAAGAAGTATTGAGCATGTTTGTGTTGTTTTCTCTAATTAAACTTAGTTATATAACAAATATTTGCAGGATAATTTAAATTGATAATTTTAATTCACTATGTATTAATTTGAAATAATAACTTCGCCAATATATCTGAATTTTTAATTTGTATGTATTGTTAAAAATTATATTTTACAAGTATGAGACTTCTGTAACCCCTGACCTCCAAATCTAAGCAACCTTTGTGTTATTCGAGATTCTCGGTTTAACCGAGGTAGTCTCGGTCCCAACCATCGATGTATAATACTCTACTGGATAGCGCGCTGTGTGGTGGAAAAACGGTCCGTGCCCACCAATCGAATTGGTGGGATACCGAGGTGGACGGGCCGTATGAACCTGTATTTTACAGAAACATACTTTCACTCAACCTGCCCTGCTTCACTTATTTGTAGGGATGGACGAGATTGGATTTTTAGTTCGAGACGAGACAAGATTTTTTATTTCTCATAAAATTTCGAGACGAGATCGAGACGAGATTTCCCTTCTCATACACAACGGGAAATGCACGTTCAAAATTTTTACCTGATTTTGTAACATTGTTAGATGACTGTTCAAATACAAAAATAATGATAATAGGCAAGAATATTTACAATCTTTTATTAAAAAACATCAGCATAACATTTTTTTATTAATCACGCCTAACTTATTAAAAATGCCTACGATTAGGAAACATAGTGATATCAGTTAGGATAGAGTTCAACTTATCCTAAAATAAAATAAATCATAAAATAAAAGCTGTATTACCGTATTAATTTTTATAAAATAGTTAGGTACTTATTTTGACTTTTTATAGTAATAAAACATTCCTCACACTGCTTACACTTAACAAAACTTCTCAAATGTTATTAAAGTAATATTATTTATATAATTAAAGTAATATTTACATTTAAAGAATTAATTAAATAAGAACGCCTTCGCAAAGGAAACGCAACTACAACACGCTCCTGTATTGCGGTATTGCATTGACTTTCTGCAGGCGTTTTTAATTTTTTTTTTTTTTTTATTCTCGTCTCGATAAAAATCTCGGCCAAAAAAAAATCTCGTCTTGTGTAACGAGATTTAAAATTTCCCGAAAATTTCCCGAAATTTCGAGACTTGACCATCCCTACTTTTGATAATCTGTTTGCTCGTGTAAATTGGCCTTTGACCACCGTTCTTGCTTTGATTAGTTTCTGTAGTGTCTGTTCTTCAGTCATTTTGTTTTCCTCGTCGCCAATATTATGTGCTTTGACTTATTTAATACAATTAAATTGTGCACATAATGTTGACTGTGTAGAAAAACTCGGACAGTTGATATTTCGATATTTTTAAAAAGAATATCGACGCAGAAAAGGTTTACATCGGCTTCTGACCAGGCGCCTTAGACACGCTAGTCTCGGCGCGCAGTGTCACATTTGATGTAGACCCTACTCGGACAGTTGATATTTCGATATTTTTTAAAATAATTTAAAAACTCGGAAAAATGAAAACTTGGACAGTTGATTTAACCAAATATTATTATTATTTTAACCATACTCGGACAGTTGAAAACTCGGACACTTGATATTTAGATATTTTTAAAAATAATTTAATAAACTCGGACAGTTGATTTATCTAATTATTATTAGTTATTTATCAAAACTCGGACAAATGAAAACTCCGACAACTGATTTTTCAAATACCTATTTTGTAATTTTTAACAAACTCGGACTGTTGAAAACTCTGACAAATGATGTGATCCCGTACTGAGTCCCTCATGATCGAATTGTTTTTTGACCACCATTGAATCGAATTGCGATTAAAAGCATCAAATCGAATTGAATCGGAATTTCAATGCATTTTCAATGCATCGCACACCCCTATTTATTTACTACAGTACAATCCCAATTGACCGAGGTTGTTGGGACCATCGATGTATAATAACTCCCTGGATTGCGCGCTGAGGTTGAAGTAGGGCTCAAAAAACGGTCTGTCGCTGCCTCGCTCTGTCCGCGAGGAGTGGGGATAAAAGGCATGAGTCACCCTAGTGGCGAGCGCCGTGCCTGCTCTCGCCGTGTATTGCGGTGTATTGCTATGTTAGTTTTGTGGTAATATTACGAGTAAAATTGATTATAAAGAACTTAAGGAGGTTTGTAAGCAGTTATAATTAATCTAATTACTTGCTCACACTTTCCAGACTATGCATCAAAAGTAAATCTCAG